AATCCAGGAGTGCCTGGGAAAGAACTTCTGGGAGTGTCCCGGTGTCCTTGACAATTCTGCAAAAGCCACACCGCAGCCATGAGCAATATTGGGCATCTTTGCTTTTCAAGTGTTTGTGCAAGTTGTGTCGGTTTAGGAATACGATTTCCGCACTGTATGTAACCAACATAATTACTCTTCCAGGGACACAGAATACTATGATTATGGACACGGGGAGGCACAGGAAACCTATGAAGCTTATGGTACGTCTGGGAATACTGTTCTGTTGACAGGGAAGGGGTCGCACGTAGTTGGGAATTGCCTGGAGCGGTTGCACATAGTTGGGAATTGCTTGTGGTCAACGAGCTGTTTTCCAGTGCCACTCCACGGTCTGGGCAAAAACTTACTGGGGAGAACCTCAAGTAGTTTTCAGGGTAGGATATTTATACCCTATAGATCATGCAGGTCTAAACAACTGAGGGCATTCTGTGGGTTTTAGACTCTTACCTAGCTTGATTGTCTCAAAGGTGACACTTTTAAAATTCCATTTTTTAACTCTGGAAAAATCTTTTAATTTCCTTGTAGCATTAGAGTATTTTAAGAGCTCAGAATTTCCACCCACAGCACTACTTTTGCTGCAGTCTGGTTTTCACGGATTATATTTTATTGAGCTGGATGAGTGCATGGTTCCATCTGCTTCCTTATCCTCAAAAACCCGCTGGCTGATACTGACTCTGCACTATACATTTGCTTGAAAAATGGATTCAAATGTCATAGGAACACCTCCCCTTGACTAGGTGGAACAGTTTTGGTCACTGTGATTTGCAAGGAGCCAATGAAGTTTAGCTAATTTGAATTACGTAAGGCCATCAACGTGGCCTAGACTGGGAGGTGTGGGAGACCAACTGAACCACAACTGTGTAAATCACCGACTGTTGACAACAATGGGCCTTATATCTGAGGTGCCAGCAATAAAGGGTTGGGTGACTGCATATTTTTTTTTTAAAGCTCGTTCAGCTTTCAGCTTATGGATGGCATCTGCGTGTGGCAATGAGTAAGATTCATTTTCCTCTCTCTGTAAACAAGCTGAACTATAAACAGTTACAAAAGCTATACAGCGACATCTTAACGGCATGGAAATACGCTGTATTGAAAATAACTCCTTTTAGCAGAGCGTCAGTTGCCTGAAGGCGTGAATGAATGCAGGTAGTGAGGATAATGCCCAGCTGGAGGGACTTTCTGGGAGCCTCAGGAACTGGGAATCCCCTATGCCATGTCATGCTGGTATTAGGGAAGCAGAGTTGTTAATGCAGTCTGTCTCCTGCCGGCCTCGGGGGTGTTCCCTGCTCTGGGCGTACGTAGTGAGAAGTTCAAATTCAGGTGCCTGACCAGGGATGCTTTTCCAGTCTAAGATGCGTTTGAATAGAGAGCTGCTGTCAGTAACGTTGGCTATCATTCCTGCCTTCACTGGCTTGGTTTGTTGCCTGTGTTAGTCACGCAGCACAAAGAGGCTTTTGTGCCTCCTACTTGGTAGGAGAGCGGTGGGGTTGTCTGGGATATGAAGGCCAAAATGCTCATTGTATACTTGGCACGAAGTTGCCACAGCTAATCTGTTTATCCACAGTAATTTCCTTTGGTCTCTGCTTTCATGAAAACAGAATTAGAGAAATAAATTGTTGAGCCGGGCTGGAGATGGTTTTGAGAAAATGGGAATGTGCTTCGTGGTGGTAGGAACAGGCTCGGCTGTCTTCCGGGCTTCGGACTCTCGCTTTCATAGACTGGCGACCCTGGAGAGAATGGCAGGCACGCAAGGATGAATGGTGGCAAGCACAAGCCATAATGAAAGCCGAGCTGGGATATCTGGGGCTTGAGCTAGCCTGGGGGCAACGGGGATGCAAACTGCATTTGCTTCGGTGGTGGTTGTACATAGCAGAAGGGTTTGGGCTGTCCTGTGGAGGGCTTTGTCCCATCGGCAGTTCGTGTTGGTACAGCACGAGGAAGCGATGTCTGCTCTGAAGAGGTGAGCAGATGCTGCGCGAGCGATGGATGTACATTTTTCCGGTAGTCGCAGAGGGGAAGGAACGGCGAGTCACAGTCAGGCTGGTGTCTGGAAGTTCAGTGGGATGCGCTGCCGTCCTAGAGCAGCGTAGGAACTTAATTAATTTGGCATAGTTATCCAGGAGCTGCCTTGCCTGGCGTCTGGGAAGGAGAGGAATGCTACCTGTAGCCGTGCCCCCCGCCAGGCCCTGGGGTTAGAGATGCTGCTGGCCACCAGCCCGAGGGGCCGTGACTGCTGCCGCCTTGGCCACTGCTGGCTGCCACAGCTGCCCCGGGAATT